TACTTCTCTCAGCTACTTTACAATTTCTAAAAGCAAGATGGCCGCATCCTAACCATCCCGTTCTCACCCATAGTGCAGCGATTAAAGGGCCCAGATGTACTTGCCCCCATCCTGATGTCCGTATATGGGGGTTAGGTGGTAACTAATGTGATAGTAGTGCACTAGTGGTGCACTAGTGGTGGCGGCTCCTATTCAAAAGCCTGGCAGAAGAGCTCCGTCTTGCAGGCCCTGCGGAACTGTGCTAGGTCCCGCAGAGCCCTGATCTCCTCTGGGAGCTCGTTCCACCAGATAGGAGCCGCCACCGAGAATGCCCTATTCCTGGTCATGGTAAGTCTAATAGAACGGGATAAGGGGCAGGGTTGCCACATCCAGGTTGGGAAAGTCCCGGAGATTTGGGGATGGAGCCTGGGGAGGACGGGGACCTCAGTGGGGTACAAGGCCATGGAATCCACCCTTCAAAGCATCCCTTTTCTCCAGGGGAACTGATCTCTGCAGTCTGGAGATGGACTGTAATTCTCCCTTTCTCACAATACAAGAACTCGTGGGCACTCAAGGAAATCGCTGAGCAGTTGGGTTAGAACAGATAAAAGGAAGTCCTTCTTCACCCAAAGGGTGATTATCACATGGAATTCACTGCCACAGGAGGTGGGGGCAGCTCCAAGTATGGACGGCTTCAAGAGGGAATTGGATAAACATATGGAGCAGAAGTCCATCAGTGGCTATTAGCCACAAGGTATAGATAGGAAGTCTCGGTCTGGGGCAAGTGATGCTCTGTATTCTTGGTGCTTGGGGGGGGGCAGCAGTGGGAGGTCTTCTAATGTCCTGGCCCCACTGATGGACCTCCTGATGGCACCTGGTATTTTTGGCCACTGTGTGACAGAGTGTTAGACTGGATGGGCCATCAGCCTGATCCAATATTGGCTTCTATAATGGTCATATGTTCTTAATGAGAGTGAGGAGGATGATTGGGGGCCTGGAGACCAAGCCCTATGAGGAAAGGCTGAGGGACCTGGCAATGTTGAGTCTGGAGAAGAGGAGGTTGAGGGGGGACATGATTGATCGCTTTAAGTATCTGAAAGGCTGTCACTTGTCTTAGAGGAGGGCAGGGAGCTGTTCCTGTTGGCAGCAGAGGAGAGGATTCACAATAATGGATTTAAATTAAGGCCAGGAAGGTACTGGCTGGATATTAGGAAAAACTCTTACAATAAGAGTGGTGCAACTGTGGAATCAGCTGCCTAGGAAGGTGGTGAGCTCTCCCTCACTGGCAGTCTTCAAGCAGCAGCTGGACAGGGACGCTCTAGGGCCTCCTGCATTGAGCAGGGGGTTGGACTAGAAGGTCTGTATGGCCCCAACTCTGTGGTTCTATGATTCTAAGACCCATGCAGAAGAACACCATGGGGATCAGTGGGCTGAAGTGGGAAGGGACAAGAGACCCCTTTCCTCTTGTGGAAGAGGAAGGAGATGCAATTTCACCTCCTTCTCCTCAGTTCGGCTCCTCCAAACTGGGTGGCTTTTCCTCTAACCTGTCCCACATCCCTGGGAATGATCTTTCCAGAGGTTGGAAGGGGCTGAAAAGCCAGAGACAAAGGCAGTGTGGAAGAATATTGCACAGCATTACTAGGAAATATTGTCACCCCTAGGGATAAGGGCCCCTGACCAAACTGAATACTTTGGCAGCATGTGGACTTTGGCAGCATGTTGACCCTAAAGGACACTCCCGAAAATCCACTCACCACATCGTATTCCAAGACATTGGAAATGGTATGTCTGCGTGGCTCCTTAGGGATCCGGATGCTCCGATGTCGCCCAGCTTGGCAGAGAGAGCTGTTGATGCTACGGGACCGAGTGACTCCTTTCCCATCAGATTCTCCTGAAGTAAAAACAAAACAAAAAATGGAAGGGCACAGTTATATTACGACAGGCATCTATCATGTCTGTAAACAAAGCTGGAGTCCAGGGTGGCACCTTTAAGACCAACAAAGCGTTATTCAAGGTAGGAGCTTTCGTGTGCACGCGCACTTCCTCAGATACTGCGTGCGTGCACACAGAAGCTCCTACCTTGATTGGAACTTTGTTGGTCTTAAAGGTGCCACCCTGGACTCTAACTTTGTTCTGCTGCTTCAGACCAACACAGGCCCCGGTCACACAGGCTGGATATTGCAGGGGGGAGGCGTGGCTGTTTGCCCCGGGGCAAAATAATGCGCAGTTGCGCAATCAGACATCCCGTGGAGGTTCCGTGGAGGTCCCATGAGTAGGGGGGAGGTGCCGATCACAGGACAATCCTGCGGCGTGGCAAAGAAGCAGTGCGGTGCCGCAAACGGGTTTGGTTTTTTCTGTACACCAAAGTATGCGCATGCTCCGCTGGGTGCTTGTGCGCATCCATGGAGACTTGGGGGGAAAAACTTTTTGCAAGGGGACATGGGCAGGCGCCGGATGCCACTGGAAACGCGATCAGACGCCCGCCCTTGCCCCGCGGTTACCGGAAACTAGTACCTCGGAGGTACTAGTTTTTTACCCCGCATCTTCGGCGGGAAGCCTCAGGTGAGCCACGGGAGCTCTACGCTTCCCAGATGTGGCGGTGAGATCGCGCCCGGGAAATCCGCCTATCTTCCATCTCTCTAGCGTGGCTAATGTTCCATGTGACCGCAGCCACAGTTACCCATCTGGATCTCTTTTCTCAAAGGAATGTCAATGTATCGGGATCTATTCAAAATGAAAATACATCTTCCAGAACCCAATGGTATCTAAAATCTAAATTCCAAAAAGTTACCCTAGACCGAGGCTACCTTCTCAGATACGTTCGATTCTCCTGTTGAATTGCCACTCCCCACCCCATTTCTACTGTACCACTGAACGCATGAAGCTGCCTTCTGTTGAGTCATCTGACTGGTCTCTATCAAGATCAGTATGGCCTACTCTGTCTGACAGCAGCTCTCCAGAATCTCAAGCAAGGTCTTTCATCATCTCCTTCTTGATCCACGTTAAGTGGAGAGGCTGGGAAATGAACCTGGAATCTTCCACACGGAAAGCAGATGCTCTGCCACTGAGCCACAGCTTCACCTTTCCCCGTTCTTCCAGTAGTTATGAAATGCACCTTCCAATGTGTAAATCACACCATCCTAGCCACTCCCCAAATATTCCACAATACATCCTTAGTCTTCTTTCCTTTAGGTAGCCAGTGGGAGGGAGGGAATCCAGATATAAAAACCCACATCCTGACAACCAAGAAGCTAAAAAAAAATTCTATCACACCCTTTCCACTTAGGTCAGCGAGCGGTCCAAAAATTAAACTGTAGTAAACATATACCCTCCAGGCCTTTTCCAACTGCTAAATACCTCCGTTAAAAATGCTTTAAAAATGCTCAGGCTATGACTATAGTTGACCTCCTTTAAGTTCTGAGGAGTAGAAGCTGAAGATATTTTTCTCCATGTCAATGGGCAGCCATGAGGGATCTAGAAAAGATCCTTAAATGTAAGGATGGCGACCAAAATCAAGTTAGTTCATGCCAGAGTACTCCCCATGGGTTTGAAAGTTGGACAATGAAGACAGCTGAGAGGAAGAAAGTAGATTTCTTTGAAATGTGGAGTTGGAGGAGATTTTTACAGATACTGTGGACCGCCAAAAGACAAAGAAATGGGTTTTCCATCAAATCAAGACTGAACTCTCCCTAGAAGCCAAAATGACTAAAAAGAGGCTACAGTTCTTTAGTCACATTATGAGAAGACAAGAGTCACCAGAAAAGACAATAACCCTAGGAAAAGTTGAAGGCAACAGGAAAAGAGGAAGACCCAACATGAGATGGATTGACCTTATAAAGGAAGCCCTTTGTCTACAAGATCCGAGAATGGCTGCTGACGATTGGATGTTTTGGAGCTCATAGATTCATAGGGTTGCCATATGTCGGAAGTGACTTGATGGCACTTCACACAAACACACACACACACACACAGACGCACACACACACTGTCAGAAAGGTAATGCTGTAATACTTGTGATGGGACAAAGAATAGGGACACTGCCAATTTCACCACAAATACTTTTGGCGGGAAAATGCGTCATTGTGAGCCAAGCCTCAAATCTCCTCATCTTGCCACAGCCTGACTGGAACAGCCGCTCAGTTTCCACTGGCCTTGCTCCCAGTTGGGCACACAAAATGTCAGCAGGTGAAGTTATTCCTGCTTCAGAGAAACAGCAAGAAGAAACAGCGTCACTCACATGCTCCACTGTTGTCTGCCGGGCTGCTTTTCCTATTTATGAGATGGATTGACCTTATAAAGGAAGCCATGGCCCTTTGTCTACAAAATCCGAGAATGGCTGCTGACGATTGGATGTTTTGGAGCACATAGATTCATAGGGTTGCCATATGTCGGAAGTGACTTGACGGCACTTCACACACACACACACACACACACACAGTGTCAGAAAGGTAATGCTGTAATACTTGTGATGGGACAAAGAATAGGGACACCGGCAATCTCACCACAAATACTTTTGGCGGGAAAATGCGTCATTGTGAGCCAAGCCTCAAATCTCATCTTGCCACAGCCTGACTGGAACAGCCGCTCAGTTTCCACTGGCCTTGCTCCCAGTTGGGCACACAAAATGTCAGCAGGTGAAGTTATTCCTGCTTCAGAGAAACAGCAAGAAGAAACAGTGCCGCCACATGCTCCATTGTTGTCTGCCGGGCTGCTTTTCCTATTTATACTGTCAAGGGCACAGAAGTGGGGTCAAGTCAGTCACAGGGCGAGAACCCCACTTGCCACAGAAATGTCGCTTAGGCCCCCAAGTTCCATAGATTTCTACCCTGTTGCATCCATACCGCTGTAATTAAAGCCACTAATTACAGGCCCTCACTGATTAACTGAGCCCAGCCTGGCTCTGATCCAGTGAGATTGATTGTCCTTGCTGATGTCCTAGGGACAGAATTAATGAGGGACCGACTGCACATGGTGAAAGAAAATGAAGGACCCGGGGGGGACTTCCCCATCCCCCAGCCCGTGTCCCTTAATCCTTATCTCTGGCTCCATCTTGCCAGCTCTGAGGTGATGTTCCTCACTGACAGTGACCAGATGCAAAGAACATGGATTTGTGTAGTTTTGATAGTTAGGTAGCACTGGGAATTTTAGCTGGTGAGTTTATGATGCAGGGGCGAGAAATGCTCCATTTGTCAAATTTTCTTCCTTATTTTGGAAGTAAAGGTATAATCAGCGTGGTGTAGCAGTCAGAGCGTCAGACTAGGATCTGGGAGACGCAGTTTCAAATTCCTTACTCTGTCATGGGTCACATACTTTCAACCTAGCCTACCTCACAGGGTTGTTGTTGGTAATAAAATGGAACATACCTGTTCACTCCAGTCATCTTCAGAGGCCTCGCTTCAGTTGCCCCCATATTCTGAGGCTAGACAGGTGGCAACCCGAGAATTTATTTATTTATTTATTTGATTTCTACCCTGCCCTCCTGCCGAAGCAGCTCAGGGCGCCTTACAAACAGTTTAAAACAACACACAATTTAAAACCAGCTAATACAAAATATAAAATACAATAAATACGGTAAAACTAAGTAAATACGGGAGCATCCTATGGTAAAGTGCTAGTGCGACCCAACCGGTGCAGTCAGTTCTTATTTGAACGCTTGGTGAAACAGCTCAGTTTTCACGGCTCTACGGAACTGCTGGAGGTCCCGTAGGGCTCTAATCTCATTGGGGAGCTCGTTCCACAGCGTTGGCGCCACCAAGGAGAACGCCCTGGACCTGGTTACCACCAATCTGGCATCCCTAGGCTAGGCCCATAGCTACAGTGGGGCATCTTGGAGCTAGGCCCCCCAACTTGTTGGCAAGGCCCCCTGACTTCCCATCCAGCCCAGAGCATCACAGCCTCCTCCCCTGAATTAATTTGATTAGCCAGTGCCCCCTAAGAAATTTAAATGCCCTCTGACTTTAAAAACCCCGGCTACGGGCCTGCCCTAGGCCCAGGGGGGACCAGGCGGTGTTGTGTTCCAGACCGCAGTGCTCTTTGGGGAATGTATGGGGAAAGGCGGTCCCTCAGGTTTCTCGGAAAGGGATTTCTCGGTCACGGCACCAAAATTTTGGAACTCTCTCCCTTGGAGATTTATCTGTCTCCCCCTATTGGTGTCTGCCACCAGCAGAGGAAGACTTTCTTGCTTCAGTTGACATACCCCCAGTATCAGCATACTCTCAGGTGAGGCAGCTTCCAGGGCCCAGACCAGTGTTCCCTCTAAGCCGAGTTAGTGTGAGCTAGCTCAGTTTTTTAGCCTCTGGCTCACACATTTTTGTCTTAGCAAAGGAAAGATGGCTCCAGAGCCAACGAATTTATACAGTAGCCAAATGGCTCACTCACAACTTTAATGCCAGTAGCTCACAAAGTAGAATTTTTGCTCACATGACTCCACAGCTTAGAGGGAACATTGGCCCAGACCCACAGATCCTGACCCCCCCCCCCACATGCTATTTCCCTGCTCACTTGTGAGTGCTTTGCTACCCATGCATCCAGCTGCACACACTGCACAGCGGCCTCAGAGAAAGGGCTGCCGGAACCGCAGCTGGCTGTGTGAGGATGGGTAGTGGGAGGGCTTGTGAGCAGGGCAGGGAAGGACGCGCAGGCAGGTAGTGAGGTACGTGAATGAGTGGGTGGGAAGGGTCTCCAGGAACCCTCTGCCCAGGGCACTGTGAAATCAGGAACTGGCCCTTCTCCCAATAATGTTTATTAACCCTCCCCCCTGGTTTTGGTGTCGTTTAGGATTTTATGATTTGATTTTATCTGCACCGTATTGTATTTGAACTGTTCAACTGATTTTATGTGAATTTTATTGGTACCTATGTACCAGCTGGTGTAAGCCGCCCTGAGCCTGCT